GGTCATCTGCGCACTATTTGTAGTCCAAGTAAATTCTTAAATCAATTATTTCTAAAGGAAAACTTATATTTCAATGCAATCTACAAATACCAAACATATACAAATTTTATTTTCAGGCTTGTAGCCCAATAAAAGGACCACCAGGACCTCCAGGACGAAATGGACAAAGTGGAAGACGGGGGGCGAGAGGACCGCCAGGAGATGAGGGACCAAAGGGAGAGCAAGGCTTAGAAGGTGATCCTGGAATCCAAGGTCCACCAGGTGACCAAGGAGATATCGGAATTCGAGGGCCGATCGGCAATCAAGGAATGCAAGGTATAAGGGGACTAGAAAATCCATGAATATAGAAGCACATGGTGTGGAATTTATCGAAATAATCCCTATCAGTGATGTCAATCCTTTTAGTTTCATTGCTTTGTTTGCACCAATTTATGGTTGATGTGTTCTTCCCATCATCCTACACACTTGTAGGCCTGAAGTCGCAGTGAGTGCCTTAGCAGAATTTACCTACAAATGATTTGTTGTACTTCAAATCAAACCTCATCATTGCCATTGTGATTTTGAAATAAAATGAAAGAGTATAAAACATGATCCTTCTCAATTGAATATTTACGAAAATTTCTTGAATTATCGATCCTAATCAAATGACTACTATACCATCCAAAAAATCACTACCATTTTGATCATGGTGAAAATTTCAGAATTACTTGAAGGTTTTGAAACACAGACGAAACTTGAGCTTTCCAATTTCAGTCAATTGCCCTTTCATATTTGCGTAACCAATGTGACTTTACTGACTTTACCAATTTTGATATGGAATTTTTGAATTTCATGATATAATAAAGTATGCGTATAAGCTGCGTTGATGGAAACAGGAAGAATCCAAATAAAAAACGAAGATCGGATGCTATTAAAAGGATTACTTAGTTATTCTGATTTAGCTCGATAACCGATATGATTGGTTTTGTATTGCTATCATTGTACTCTTCAAGATGTCTTTCGGTCATTCAGCCCTTCAACTTCATTTCCACATATTTATTTTTCATTTCAATTTATTTAATTAGCACTTTCTTTCCCTTTCAATCGATATTCGCACCTCATTTAC